CTGAGGTCAGGAGCTCGAGATCAGCCTGGCCAACGTGGCAAAACTCTGTCTCTAATAAAAATACAAAAATTAGCCGGGCATGGTGGCGGGTGCCTGAAGTCCCAGCTCCTCAGGAGGCTGAGGCAGAAGAATCACTTGAACCCGTGAGGCGGAGGTTGCAGTGAGTCAAGTTGGCGTCACTGCACTCCAGCCTGGGCAATAAAGCAAGACTCCGTCTCAAAAAAAACCCATATATATATATATATATATTTTTACCATCAACAAAAGGGGTGTGAAGGCCTCTCACGGCCCTCTTGGCACACTCAATAGTGGCCAAAAGGTGGTGAACACCCTGGCAGTCTGGAGTCACACCTGGGCGGGGGAGGGGAAGAGCAGTGAGAGCTTTAAGGTTCTCCTCCCCAAGCCAGACCCAGGGCTGGAGTCCAGGGCTTGGCTTGCAGCCCTGGTATGGGCACATGCAATGGTTGACATAACAGGCCCTACCTGCAGTCCCTACCTCTTGCTAATCCTCTCTGTACCTCTGGGTCACACATTTCTCAGCACTTGCCCTGAAGGCTGGAGCTTTTGCCCCGGTCGGGCCGTCCTCCTGGGATTCCCAATACATTTTCTGGCCTCCACAGGCCAGAGTCCCCCGTGCCCTTTACAGCCCAGAGGGAACAGCATGCTGTCCCCATCTCCCCTGGGCTGTAGCTGCTTCTATGCCACTTGGGTAGCAGAGGCCCTTCAGGGTCGGCCCAGGCCTGCAAACTGGACTGCCCTTCCTGTGCAGGTCCACAACTCCACCCTGAATTGGGGATCAGTGAGTTCTCCCCAGATCGAATGGCCTTAGCTCCTGCCACTGTCTGGACACTGGCTCAAGTCCCTTGTTCTGGACCTCAGTCTCCCCACTGGCATAAAGGGGTTCACATTCGGGGCCGACATGCCCTAGGGAGGTGCTGGAGAATCCACTGCCAGGTCATCCTCTGAAGATATGCTGGGTGCATGTGCAAGCATTGGGGACTGTGTAATCTGGTACCCTCTACTCCTCACCCGCCCGCCCCGCCGCCCCTGCCTGCTCGCTGCACTCCAGGTCACAGTTGGCACAGCGCACCGCCTCCACGCCATCCCCCGAGCTGTCCACCAGGAACTGCAGCAGCCGGTCCACCGGTGGGAGCCCGCTAGGACCCTTCACCACCGTCTGGTGTCTGCAGAGAAGCCCAGGCCCTGAGATTCTGACACCCCTTCCCCAAGGCTCCCCACCCCCGCCCCTCACATTCCAGGCTGGAGCTACAAATAGCTGTGTTGGGAGGTGGGGTGCACCACAGCTCTGGGGTTTGCTATAAATATCACAGCCAGTGCTCACCCTGCCCTGGTCCCTACCCTTGCCCAGTCCTGGGCACTCCTGCAGACAGTGGGGTTGGTGCCCCTAGTATCAAAAGCAGAAGCTGCCCCTTGGCATCCTCTCACAACATTGGGCAAATTAGAGCCACTCCTGGGTTCCTTGAGTCCACATAACTGTAACTGTGTTTTGTGGACCTAAGACTTCTAAGACCCAAAGCGAGTTACTGGGAGTGTCTTGACCAGTGCTGGAGCCCCACCCCTACCCCCTAACTTTTGATGGAAGGTCTTAGGCCAGTAACTGCAATCTCCAGGCCTCAGTTAAGCTGATCTATAAAATGGGCTGAAGCCTGCAACTTCTGGCCAGGAGAGCTAAGGACTGGGTGCAGCATCTCCCAGTCGTTCTGCCTGAAGTTGGAGCCTTACTCTCCTGGCACCTGGGTCCCAGCTCGGGCAGAGCCAACCTTGGGCTGCGGGGATGGGGTCTGGGGGGTCTTTGGGAACTTTGGGACACTTACTGGCACAACGGGCAGGTGAGGCGGCCTTCAGTCGCGCGGCCACGCAGGCAGCCGGCGCAGAAGTCGTGGAAGCAGTCCAGAAGACACGGGCGCTTGTACTGCACATGGCACAGCGGGCACACCAGCGGGTGGACGCTCGGGGCGTCCAGGGAGCTCGGGCCCTCCAGGGGCCCGAAGATAGCTCCCGACATCTGCAGGGACAGCACAGGCGGGCGGCTGGGGCGCGCACGGAGCCCCGCTTGAACTCCCGCGGCCCCTCTGCCCGGTCGCCCGCGCCCTCCCTGTTGCGTCTGGACCCGACGGAGCGTCCAGAGGTCATGGAGTGGGGAGCCGCTAGGGCCCGGGTTAGGGCTGGGGCCTGGAGCGCCCCGGCGCAGGGAGAACGGGCAGTGAGGACTAGCGAGGGGAGGGGCCCTGTACCTACCCGCTAGGCCGCTTTACTGGGAGCTACCCGCCCTCCAAGCTTCTCCCCCACGGTCCAGCGCTCCTAGTGCGGCTCCGAGCCGCGCTCTGAGACCCCGCGCTGTAGCTCTGCCGAGGAGTTGCCGGCCCTGGTAGGTCAGGCTCGCACCGGGCGATGGTTCCTATCCTACGCGGGGCCTCGCTCTGCCCTGGCCTCTCCTACCTCTCCTCACTCCCACCCTCGGAATTCCCCGCCGGCTGTCCTCTGGGTGACCCGCAGGAGACGCCCCTTCCGGCATCCACCTTCCCCAGGGTGGCTGCTGCCTTACGGCGCGGCGGGGCCGAACCGACCTCTGCGCTCGCCATCTGCTTTGCGCTCTGGTTCCGGCCCGGCTACTCCATCCCCAGCCCGCGGGGAGGAGAAGCTAGGACGCCAAGTCTCCAGGGACGGTACCAGGCAAGGGTGAAAGGGTCGGACTGGCCCCTGCCCGGGATAACAAGAGTCCCGAGCCCCAAGACCAGAGCGCCGCGCAGAGCAGGGCCAGAGGACCTTGGCTGCGGGGTCTTCAAGGGTGTAGGGCGGACGCGGTGGCTTGCGTCTGTAATTCCTGCACTTTGGGAGGCTGAGGCGGGCAGATCGCTTAAGGTCAGGAGATCGAGACCAGCCTGGCCAACGTGGCGAAACCCCTTCTCTACTAAAAATACAAAAATTAGCCAGGCGTGGTGGCGCCCGCCTGCAGTCCCTTTTGGAGGCTGAGACAGAACTGCTTGAACCCGGGAGGCGGAGGTTGCAGTGAGCGGAGATCCCGCCACTGCACTCCGGCCTGGGCGACAGAGCGAGACTCTGTCTCCAAAAAAAAAAAAAAAAAAACAAAACAGTCCAGACCCCACCCCCACCGCCGCTATTCCCTGCTCCTCCATCCGATTTGGGTCTGAACAGGTCATCGCAGCCGCCATTTCCTCGGCGGCCAATTGCGGGCGCCAGAGAGCAGCGGACGCCCCTCCACCAGTGCTTGGGAGGCGGAGTGACACGCCCTGGAATCCTAGCCCTTCCTTTCGCTGGTTGTGAGCTCTCGGCCATGTTACAGACCTCTCAGAGCCTCAGCGCTGGGTTAAAATAGAACTGGTGTCCTGATAATGGGCGAGGCCCCAGTGGAATAATGCCCGTGAAATACACATACTGGGCGTCCACTTAATTAAGGCCCCATCCTCATTGCCTGCCAAGTTCCCAAAAGAGGGATGGGTTTGGGTGGGAGGTTGAGAGGGGAGGCTCCCGGCCTTTCCAGCAATGCCCCCTCTGCCGTCTGGGCCTGGCAGATGCGTGTTGATCCCAGCGTTTTCTCCAGCATGCCCTCGCTTCCTGCCTGTGTTATCCTGAGTGTCCTAAGAGCAGCCCGTTTCTGCCCCTCTTGCAATTACAGTCAAGCCCAGAGCCTGACCCACAGTAGTGCTCAATAAAGGCTTAGAAAAAACTCGGAGCTATTTGAGCTGTTTTCGTTTTGTTTTGTTTAAGACAGGATCTCACGCTGTCGCCCAGGCTGGAGCGCAGTGGCGCGATCATATCTCACTGCAGCCTCGGCTTCCTTCCACCTCAGCCTCCCAAGTAGCTGGGACTACAGCGGCGCCCCACCACGCCCGGCTAATTTTGTTTTTTTCTTTTTCTTATTTTTGAGACGGAGTTTCGCTCTTGTTGCCCAGGCTGGAGTGCAGTGGCATGATCTCGGCTCACTGCAACCTCCGCCTCCCGGGTTGAAGTGATTCCCCTGCCTTAGCCTCCGGAGTAGCTGGGATTGCAGCTGCACGCCACCAGGCCCAGGTAATTTTTTTGTATTTTTAGTAGAGATGGGGTTTCACCATGTTGGCCAGGCTGCTCTTGAACTCCTGACCTCAGGTGATCCGCCCACCTTGGCCTCCCAAAGTGCTAGGATTACAGGTGTGAGCCACTGAACCCAGCCTTTGTTTTTTTTTTTTGTATTTTTAGTAGAAAAATAAAAAGTACAATGTGTTGCACACATTGGGGATTTTGCCGTGTTGCCTAGGCTGGTCTCCAACTCCTAGGCTCAAGCACTCTGCCTGCCTTGGCCTTCCAAAGTTGCTGGGATTACAGACGTGAGCCGCCTTGCCTTGCCTTGAGCTGGGTTTTGAAGGATGCGTAGGAGTAGGAGTTTGCTAGGAGAAGGAAGTGAATTCTAGAGAGAAACTAGTTGTTCTTTTGAGGACTGTCCCTAGCCCTGGTTCTATTTATGGACCAAGCCATAATGACAATAGTAGCAATGGCTAATGTTTATGGGCCAAGATTCTTTTTTTTTTTTTTTTTGAGATGGAGTTTTGCTCTTGTTGCCCAGGCTGGAGTGTAATGGTGCCATCTCAGCTCACCAAAACCTCT